GGGGGGGGGGGGGGGGCTTCCTTGGGCTCGGGGTTGTTGTTTTTGACGATTTTTGTTTTTTAGAAAGTATTCATAGCCTCACAAGACTACCCGTTCGAGATTTAACCTCACTCATAACCTCACCGAATGACACTCACACTCTACCCACCCGTTCGAGATATAACAACAGTCGAAAGGGACGTGCTGGAGTCTTTTCAGCGAGTGTAGGGAAACCGGCTGGGGATTGGGCTTATTTTGAGTTTGTTTAACCCTATTCACTGAATTGTACCAGTAATATTATCTGGTGCTTTGGTTTTGTCCGTCCAAGTTGGGTGTGTAGCAAGCTGCGCAGGGGGTCGTTTGTGGGGCCAGGTTCTCGTGGTCATACAAGTATCGCTTTTCAGTTGACGCGGTTGTGTACTGTAGGCTACTGTAGTACTGCCGCAGGGTGACCGAGGATTTCAAGTTTTATGTTTTGTGTGACGCGTGTGTAAATAGTAGGGTTGAGGGGTCGAAGAAGACTCAGGCGTAGAGGATCATTGTACCCGAACGAGTGACAATACAACCAAGGGAGGGACAAACATTATCGTTGGTACGGACCACCACTGTAATGGCGGGATGGCCAGGCCTCCAAGCAAGTGACATCGAATGTATGTACAAGTATCGTGCGGGAAGTACGTTGGGTGACGGCTCTCCTCCGCAGCTTTGGCACTATCGTACGTGTGTCATGCGTGGCGCGTGGCCTTCTTCCCGTACCGCTTGCTCTCGGCCATATCCCATTCTCCCCTTGTAGCAACACACACGCTCTCCGGCCCACGATGATCTGAAACCAAATCGTACGGCAGCAGTAGTGCTGTTTTTGTACCCGCGTTTATGTTGTGCGTGGTGTCCTCCAGGCCTACGACGATGTGAAACCAAATCGTACAAGCAGAAGCAGTAATGTAGTATACCAGTAGTGCTTGGTGTTTCTTTACCCGTGTTTTGGTGTATGCCACACTCACCTACAACGCCTCGCCCACACGCTGCTCACCCCGTGCCACACCTCTATCAGGCGGTGACGGCCGTGGACACGGCTTTCTTCTCGTTCGCGTGCGCGCTCCCGGAGTCGGAGGCGACGCCTTCCGCCTCCTCGGGGGTAAACCTCCTCTCGAGCAGCGACGACGACGATAGCGTCCAAAGCGCTATTACTGGCGGCGGCGAGGACGGTGACGATGAAACCGCCGTTGAGACAGCGCCCGCGCCAGCAGCCGACGACGACGAAGCAGAGGCAGGGGTGGACGAGAACAACGAGACGGCGGTCGACGACGGCGGGGTGTGGGAGGTCCACGAGGGCGGGGCGTGCGTCTTCTTCTTCTCGCTGGACGGCGGCAACTACTCGGCGGTGGAGCCGCCGGCGGCGGCGGCGGGGGCGGGGGAGTCCTCGTCCATGTCGTCGTCCTCGTCGTCCTCGTCGTCGGTGGCGCCGAGCAGTAACACGCTGCTGTTGACGGGGCTAGCCGACGGGGCGCACGAGCTTAGGTGAGGCGTGGGCGAGGGGGTGCGTACCACGTGGTGGCTACAATCCATCACGTCCTGTACGTGTAGGTTGGTTATATCCAGGAGCCCGGACGCTTGACGAAGAGGGCGCGCGGCGTGCGCGCTTGCGTGCTGGGACGTAGGTTAAGGTAGATTATATGGGAGATGACGCGCCGCACCCCATGCACAGGTTTAGCGATAGTTACGACACAACCGCCGGTTGGTGGTGGTTTTTGAGGGCTCCTTGTGACGCGCCTAAGCCAACGAAGCGCACTCTTCAGATGAAGCAAAGTATTTGTACGGACGACGATGACGCAGGATACCACCCCCCCACCCCCCCACACACACACGAGTGCCGCACCGCCGTGTCACTGTTTTTTTTTATTTGCGCACGTCATGACGTGCAACATGAAAACCAGCACTAACAAGCACCTTCAGCGCGCCGTGCTCGGCGTGTGACGTTTAGATGGGCATCGAACATATGTTGTGTCACGTCCTGTTTCTACGCACATACCCAACGGTCAGAATCTATTTTTCGCCTCGCTGCCTGCTGTGTTTTCTACGGGAGGCCTTTCGCGTGGGACGGCCACAGCGGGCAGTAAAGCCCCTTTGCTTTCTTGCAGCTCCCAGACCTGCTCTTGCTTCGGGTGGCCGATTTTTGCGCTGTACAAGCAAGAGCACAGCCTGCGTCGTTGTCAAGTCGGACCTCCCGTTTTGAACCGTATAGGTGTTTACGCTTGCTTTTCGCTGCTTGGTTTCACGTGCCGAATCCTTTTGGTTTCCTCAGTGTGTACGCGTGCAAGGCGAACAGCACCGAGTGCGACCCTCAGCCGCTAAGCCATTCCTGGGAGACTGACACGTCGCTGCCGGTGACGACCATCCTCTCCTTCCCCGACAAGCTCATGCCGTCCGTGGTGAGTTGCCGTTGTCGTTGGTGCTATAAGTTGCGGTTGCTGTTGTCGTTGGTGTTGTTTTGCCATGCTGCTTTTTTATGTGTTCGTTTCACTACATGCGTCAACCGTCGTTCGCAGTTTCTACCAAAACAACGAGCCTCTCTATAACTGAAGTGCTCCGATCTGGGGGTCACACAGACAGGAATCCCTCCTCTGCGGTGTATGCCTCCCTTTCGTGTTTTCGTTGGGGAAGGGTTCAGCGCTCCTTCATTCACACAAACTCACGATCAAGCGCATTCCAGTATACCAGGAAACGCGGCAAAAACACGCGCCTCGCCGGGATCGTAACTCTCAAACCCAGCCGCGACGTAGGTTTCGCAGTGGCCTAGACTGGCGGCGGGGCGAGCGATCACTCCCGTTGTCGCCGGTGTTCTGCCTTTCTCTCATGGTTGTTGATGTCGTCGTCGTCGTGTGCCTCTTGTCGCGCGCCCCTGTTCGTGCCTGCCTTGCTCTTGACATCGTTGTTGACGTGTGACGCTCGTGGCGCCCCCGCAGTTCACCTTCGGGTCGAGCAAGCCCCTGTCGCGGTTCATGTGCAAGGTGGACAGCGGCCTATGGCGCCAGTGCGACGAGACTTCCCAGTTCCCCCTCAGCGACGGCCTCCACAGCGTCGTCGTCATGGCCGTCGATCCCACCGGCCGCTCGGACCCGAACCCCATCACCTACAACTGGGAGGTGAAAAAAACGGCGGGGGGCTCAGTGGCTGATAACACCTGTTTGCCTCGTGCAGTTTTTTCGTTGAGCACAGGGTATTTTTCCGCGGCTGCTCGCTGTGCTTCATTCATGGCGCGTTCGTGCCCGTAGATGGAGGTAGTTTGCAAGACCACTGCTGAGACAGGGGCATCTCAGGGGTGCTCGAGAGTGGTTGTTCTCAAGGGTCGGCAAGTGTGTATTTGGTTTGACCCGCTTCGAGCCCGTTTTTTTGCACAACTGCGCCGGTTTTCGGCGGGTTGTTGTTGTACTCAACGAGGACCCCGGGCAGCGACAAGAATAACGGCTCTGCACCTCATGCTGTTGTTGTTGCTGCTGCTGCTGCTGCTGCTGCTGCTGCTGCTGTTGTTGCTGCTGCTGTTGCTCCTCCTGGTACACGACACGCGATGCGCAGGTGAGCATGCTGGAAACGGTCGTGGAGTTCTGCCCGCCGAGCCACCTGCCGTTCCAGGCGGCGGAGACGCAGCAGGTCCTCCTGGGCGCGTCGTACGACGGGGTGGCCTGCGCGCCGGCCATGTCCTGCCAGATCCGCTACGTCCTCCAGTGGGAGGCCCCCGTGCCGGCGTCCTCGGCTGCGGACTGCGTCGCCCCCCCGTCCCCGGCCCCGACCGCCGCCCCGGTGCCCCCGTGGTCCTTGTCGCCGACGCGGGAGGGCGTGGATGATGACGACAAGGCCGGCGGCGGCGGCGGCGGCGGGAGTGGTGCATCGAGTGGCGGCGGGGAGAGCGGTGGTGGCGATGATGATGGTGGCGGCGGGGGCGGTCTCGCGACCCCGGGCCCGACCGGCGGGGGTACCGACGACGACGGAGGCGGGGGCGGTGATGGCGGCGGGTCCGCCCCCGGGCAGAACTACCTCTCCCGGTCGGTGGTGCTGTGCGCGGAGGCTTGGGCTAACTGCTCGACGTTGGCGGCGAACGCTAGCTACAGCTACCAGCAGCCGACGTCTTCCGGCGAGGGCGGGTGCACTAAGCTCGAGACCCTCGAAGGACAGGTAGACACGCACGCGGGGGTTCTTGGGTCCTTTTTTTTTGGCAGGAGAAAGGGGTTGGGGGTGGGCGTTTGGTTATTGTAGATGGCCTTGCAGCGGTTGGCGATGGGGATGCGCGTGCTGGACCGTCGGTAGTGTGTATCGGTGTCGTTGTCGTTGTTAACCTTAGCAATCGATGCACCCCCCCTGCTTGGTATGTACAAATTGTTTCTCGCCTTGGACTGGCGAAGGACTCTCTCCGCTGTGGCCGAACGAACGAGCCCACTGCAGTGGGGCTTTGGTGTAAAAGCCGTTTGAATAAGTACTCTCCGTGTGACCATGGCGCGCTCGCAAGTATTCCAGGATCTGTCAGAGCACGAGTCATATTCGGTTGACAGCGGCATGGCGACGACGCCTCGTGCCAGGCATTGGTGTGGTCGGTCGTCAAGTCTCGAAAAATATTTCATAACAGCGCGTTACGAAACGGCTGCCGCAGGTGGGGCACAGCCACGGCACCCTGGTGATGCAAAACCTGGGCGTGGGGGACTACAACCTCACGCTCGAGGCGTTCAACGTTTTCGGGGTGGTCGACCGCAGCCCCGTCGTGTGTCCCTTCCGGGTGCTGGCGGAGGGGGAATCCGTCAATCAGACGCAGGTGTGGGTGTGTGTGTTTCTCGAGAGAAGAGAGGTGTGTGTTTTTGTGTGTGTTTTGCCGGTGTGCTTGTTTTAGAGAAAACATGCGTGTATTAGAGAAGAGAGGTGTGTGTTTTTGTGTGTGTTTTGCCGGTGTGCTTGTTTCGGAGAAAACATGTGTGTTTTAGAGAAGAGAGGTGTGTGTTTTTTGTGTGTGTTGTGCCGTCAACCAGACGCAGGTAGGTGTGTTTTTTTGGAACAGGTAGTATAGGTATATTGGTTGTGGTGGTGTCTAGTTGGTGTACAGTAGACCGCCGCGTCAACAAAAACAGGCGGAGCAGTTGTAAGGCAGGCGTCCTGGCGGAAGGCGAAAACCGTCGAGCAGAGTGCCTTATGTGGGGTTAGACACACACAACATCCTTTACACCGCGCCGAACTGGCGGGACTAGATAAGAAGGGTCCCGCCTCCAGCGTCAGAGTACTTGTCATATCGATCTGAAGCAAACGATTGTTGTTGTTTTCCTCTCGTTCTGCTGTGCCCACTCCTCGAAGCGGTACGTGAGTAAAGTACCATACGCGTGTTTGTTTCCCCCGCACTGGGGTGTTACCTGTGCGACTGACCTTGAACACACGAGCGATCGATTGGGAAGGGGGACAGATATTTGGGGGGGGGGGGACGGTTGTTATCGCGATGTATCTTTTCTCAATGTCGAAGTCTGCACACAGCTCGCGCTGGCGTCTGTTGACGATTTTTTTTCCTGGACGCCAGCCCAATAGTCTCGTCGACGACGTCGACGTAAACCTTAGCGCCCACAAGCTGACTGATGTGATTTAACTAACCACCCGTACCCCTCCCCGTCTTTCTACGGGACCCCAACCCCAATTTCCAACGCCAAAAGATCGTCATGGTGCGCACGCCCGCCAAGGTGCTCAACCGCCCGGAACAGGCGCCGTTTCTGTTCGAGTTCGAGGTGGAAGACGTCCTTGCTGCTGCCGATATTTCTGCGAACACGTCGACGTCGTCATCATCATCATCATCATCACCCGCCACCACCACCAACCAAACGGAGTCGGCAACAGTCGATTCTTCCGCGACCTCCTCCTCCTCCTCTGCCGCTGACGCGGCGGCCAGGCTGTCATACCTCCTCTCGGGCCCCGGGGCCGGCGACGCGTGGGAGGCCGTGCCGGCGGTGCCGAGGGCCGAGTGGGACGCTCTCTTGCTGCTGGCCGGGGACAACAACGGCACCTCGTCCATCTCTTCTTCTTCTTCGTCGTCTTCGTCGTCTTCCGCCGGAGGTGGTGGCGATAGCGGGGGTTTCGTGTGGGGGCTGGAGCTGGAGGGGTTGGAAGATGGAGAGTACCGCCTGCAGGTGTGGGGGGGGAGGAGGGGGGAGGGTATTCTTATGTTTTGCATGCCTTGGCGGTTAGACCATTGACCACGCGTCCTCGACAGGACGGAGCTCGGGGCGGGGGGGGGGGAGTATTGGATACCCTGGCGGTAATGCTGTCGTTCTTTGGTGGTGTTTCCTCAGACCGTACGATGCCCTCGCATAGCGCGAAGCCTTGGACGCACGTAGCGGCCGGGTTTTCCTTGTATAGGGCGTGTTTGAGCGGGATTGGAGTAGGTGGGGCACGCCCTGGGGTAGAAGTACATGCATGCTGCTGTCGCGTGGTGGGGAGGGGGGGGTAGGGTACGGCGGAGAACATTATTTTTTCTTATGGATCTTGTTCAGAATTAGTGTGGTCCGTCCCCTGGGTCTGGGCAATCCCTTATGATGGAACACGAGACGATGCGGCTGCAGTACAGCAGTAGCGCAAGTTCTGTCCGCGGACGGGCAGGTAACGGGGCTTCGCAGAGGGGTCCGCCTCGTGCCTCTACACACGGGCATGTAGCGTGTTTCGTTCCCGTGTTTGTAGTCTAGTGATGGCCCTGTCCTCTTGTTTTTTTTTTTCTTAACTTTTGCTGGGGTGCCTTCGTTCCTGCCTTCTGTCCAGGTGCGAGACGAAATCCTCGGAGACACGGCGGAGTACACGTGGAGGGTGGACATGTCGGTGCCCGAGCTTTCCCTCGACGCCATGCCCCAGGTGCAGCAACGCGGTACACTCCGCTTCCTTAGAAAGGCGTCGTCTTGCCTGGCTCACCCATCGCCTTGGCCCACCGCGCACGAGAGAAATCGGTCCCGAGCTCGTGTCTCCCTGTGTGCCCCTCGTGCCGTGAGCGTGGACTGACCGAAATAAACCGGTCCCGCAACCAAGCAGACACCACTAACTGAAGCTCCAGTCCATTGCTGCTTGTACCGACCAACCGCCCGTGGCCGTCCGTGAACCTTGCCCGCCGCCCCCCTGGCGTGACCAACCGAATTGTTTGCATTGCCACCGTCTACCCCCGCCCCCGCTCCCCCCAGAACCCATCGCACAGCGCGGAGGCGATCTTCGTGCTGCGATGCTCGAAGCTGTCGTGCGGCCTGGAGTACCAGCTCAACGACGACGGCGTGTGGCGCCTGTGGGTCGCCGCCGCGGCGGAGGTGGAGCACACCCACAGCTCCAGGGCCCCCACCCCCGCTCCCGCGGTGGCCCACATGTTGGGGTCGGGGTCGGACGACGAGGGGGGAGGGGCGGGTGCGGACAGCGGTGACGGCGGGTCCGATGAGGCGGGTGATGACGAGGGGGACGGCGGAGAGGAACCGGCAGAGGACGGGGGGGAGGAGGAGGAGGAGAATGACACGGTGTTTGTTAGGATCACTGCGCAGCAGGTGGGTGCAGTACTTGCTTGGGGGGTTGGGTGTTCGCCTGGTGTGGTGTGATGATCCTTTTCTTTCCCTTCCCGTGCCCCTCTTTCGTGTGGAATTTGATCGGTTGGTTGCGTTGAGCCTTTGGGGAGTCGTCGGCGTCCTTGTTGTTCGCGACCCGAAACACCTCACGAGAAAACCAAACGGAAGCTTGCCTGTGGGCGATGAGAGAGAGAGACAGAGAGACAGCAGAGACAGAGACAGAGACACAGAGAGAGAGAGAGAGCGAGGAAGTGGAGCTCCTCTCTAGGCAGGTTTGTAGCTTGTTCCACGCCCGATGAACCTTTGTCACGTTCAACAGGAGGATGAAGCACAGCATCCAACGTGCGAAAGGGGGGAACCAGCCATCCCCTCTCTAGATCAAGGCCGGGGACGGCCCCTGCAAGCGTCCACTTCTTCACCGCCCCCGCCCACACACCCCTCTTGCCTCACAGGTATCCAGCCACGAGCTCTCGTTCCGCGTCAACGTCACCGTCCCGGAATCCGGCAACTACTCGCTCGCCGCTCGCCCCTCCTCCTCCGCGGCCGTCTTCGCTCCCGGCGCCATAATCGGCTCCGTCCCCGGCGGCGTCGGCGATGACGACGGCAACGGTAACGGTAACGGTAACGGTAACGGCAACGGTAACGGTCGTCGCCGCCGTCTAGACTCTGGCACGTCCTCCTCCTCTTCCTCTTCCTCTTCCTCGTCGTCTGATGCGGGTGTTGATAGCGGCACGGTCAAGGTCGATTGGGAGGTTGACCTCACGAGGCCGGAGACACGGGTGGTGAGCCGGCCGAGCCCCGTGATGACAACGGGGGTGGCCGCGTTCCAGTTCGCGTGCTCCCTTGCCGGGGAGGAGCCGTCGCACGGGTGCTTCTACCAGTACCAGATGATGGTCGCGAACTCGGAGACGGACTGGGACAGGCTGGAGTGGCTGCCGACGGTGAGACGGAGGAAGGAGGGGAAGAGGGAAGGATAAGGGTAGAGGACGAGGGGTTAAGAGAGCAGATGTTCTTGTGCGTGTACGTTGAAGGACAGAAGGAGGAGAACGTTGGCGTGGAGAGAAACGGGGCGGTGGAACATATGTTGTTAGGCCTCAACATAATGGAAGCAGGGAACACAGCAGTGGAGAGACGGGGCGGAACGAGAGAGAGGCAGAGGCAGATAACGCAGACAGGGTAAAAAGAGAGAGAGAGAGAGAGAGAGAGAGAGAGAGAGAGAGATAATGCGCGATGAGGTAGAGGGGGGGGATGGGTGCTCTGCCTGATCTCTGCTTGTTCACACATCTTTGCTGCTGTGCCTTTGGTTTGGTTCGTGTTTGCATTTGATTGACGCTCCCCGCCAACGCCATCCGTCATCGGATGGACCCCTTCGGATGAACCCCTTCGGATGAACCCCTTCGGATGAACAGAATCGACACTTGGGCATCGCATAATCTGGCCTCGCCTTTCATTTTGTTTTTCTCACCGACTTCCACTGCCCGGCTACGACCTTCCCCACCGTTGCCCCCCCACCCGCTATGCAGGCGGACTCGGTGACGCTGTACGAGATAGGGGAGGGCGTCAACAGGATTCGGGTGCGGGCGCACGACTCTGAGACGGAGCTGTACGACCTTTCGCCGGCGGAGGTTGTTTGGGTGCGGGACGCTACACCGCCCCAGCTGGACTGGCTGTGGACGCCGGAGGAGGTGGGTTCGAGTTTGAGGTTTGCTGTTGGCGTTGGCGTTGGCGTTGGTATTTGTTGGACGAGGTTTTGCACCAGCGAGTGTGTTAGAGGTTGGTGTTGGTGAAGGTCAGAGAACACGTCCGGGGTTGTTTACATGGCCATGTCGCGAACAAGCCTCCTCGAAACGAACGCCTTCTTCTCCGCGGCCTGCTGTTTGTTTGTTTAAACAAGAAAAAATAAATATACAACGATTTCGACGATTACGACGGCAAACAGGTGTCCCATCTCTCGAACGCCCTGTTCGAGTTCACGTGCCTCGGAGAGCTTCCCCTGCCGGCGACCGTCTTCGGAGACGAGGCGGACCCCGAGGAACCGGTCGATATGGGCCAAGGGGAGCAGGAGGACCAAGCCAGCTCCTCCTCCTCCTCCTCCTCGTCATCTCCTTGGTTGCGCTCATCATCATCATCAACATCGGGCAGCGGCACGCATTCTGAACCCGTGGCCATCAGGGACGACGATGATGCTTCGGCGGTTGGGGCCGCCGCCATCGCCGCCGCCTACCCCACGGCGTTCCCCCGCGTGCTGCCCAGCGGGTGCGCGTTCGAGGCGAGCCTGGATGGGGCGGATTTCGAGGCCGTGCCGAACACCGTGGGACTGTCGGGACTGTCGAACGGCGACCACCGCTTTTCCGTCAGGTAATATGCGTGGCGTGCGTCTGATTGTTAGCGACAGGGGTGGCGGGGGGGGGAGTGCTCCCTTGGATAGTTGATGGTGGTTTCGTTTTCCTTCACGTGTGGTGTGGGTCTGATTGTAAGCGACAGAGCGGGGGTGGGGCGTGGGGAGGGTTCTGCTTTGATGGTGGTTTCCTTAGTTCGGCGTTATTTTTTGTGGTTGCTATGCTAGCGATCCTTTCGAGACATGAGTCTGCATAACTCACTCACTCCATATTGTCCATCGACCGTGGATGTCCCTCCCACCTCCGCCTTGTTGATCGTCGCGACGTACTTGATTTTGTTTGGTAATTTAAACAACGCGTCATTCCAGTGCTGTTGTCGCTTGTCGATGTTACCCCCTCGTGGGTCCATTCACAAACATTGATACCCCACGCTGCTGTGGCTCGACCCAGTTATACCCCCCACCTCACCCCGCACTTTTTCCCCGCGGCAAACGGTAAGAAGAGCACTAGTTTGACAATAGGCGAACGATTTACCCGAGCCGAATCCCCCCCCCCCTCAATGGTCTAACGACTACGGTATGCACGACTATGAGTACCCCCCCCCCCCCTCCCCATGCAGGGCTAGCGACCTTGCGGGCAACGTGGCAGCTACTTCATACTTCGATTGGACCGTTGACACCAACGTCCCAGACACGGTGAGTTTATTTACAGGAGGCCTGCTGTTGTGAGGTATTGTACGTACACAAGACTAGCCGATAGGCTGTGTGGTGTTTTGCTATCCGTCAGTGGTGGTTGTAACAATACTGTAATTTTCGCAGGGTAAAACATTTGGTAAGTGGTGTGGTGAAATTCCTGGCGCAGGTGTGTTGACCATTCCAACGCTCCCTCCCCGCGGTTGTTGTTGTTTTTGTTGTTTTTGGTTACATGTCAACCAACAGGTGGTCGTAGCGTGCCCGTCGAGCGTGGCTTCCTCTCCTATGGCCACCTTCAAGATCCTCGACACCGTGGGGGCGGAACAGGACGAGGGGCACTTCGAATACAGGTATTGCCTTCGTAGCTCTGGGCACAAGAGATGACAATTTCTTCCCGCCATCTCGGCCTCTGGTTGGTTCTGATTGGCCAATTATTATAGCGCTTCATCCCTCTCGTAGGATTGAACATGAATACCACGTTGCGAACGAGTGCTGTTGGAATTAACAGCAGGTGTGCGACCGAAGGCTCGATTGCTCTCTTTATTATTATTATTTTTTTTTCTTCACTTCAAATCAGCGCTCACAGCACTAGTGCCGTTTTACTCCAACCCGTGGTCACACACAAGAGCCTCTCTCCACCCCGATTGCTCTCGATTGCTCTGCAACCAAACGAAAGGTTGGCTGCAAATACCAAACAGGGGTGTGTGCTTGGTTGCGTGCACATGCGATACCTGCAAAACCGGTCGCACATCTGCCGGTACGGGTGTTATATTGAAGGGTGCTGAGCAGAGATCGGAACAGTTTTTAGTGTGAAGACGACGACAACAACAACAACAAGACCTGTGCGTTAGCCCGCGCCTTCAACGGTACGCATCTCGAGCACGGTACGTGTGTGTAGGTTACTTAGTGCATTGGTGTTGACGTGTATACACATGTTTCGTCTCTCATCCCTCGCTTGTTGTTGTTGTTGTTGTTGCTGTTGCTGCTGCTGCTGTTGTTGTTGTTAATGTTTTTTTTTTTTTTGTGAATGATGGCGGGAGAGAGCAGACTGGACCCCTTGGACGACGACGCCGCTTGGGCCACCACGTCCAACACCACCCTCGAGTTCTTGGGGCTGCAAGACGGCACGCACGCGCTGACAGTGAGGGCTCGCGAGACCCTGGCGGAAGGAGGGAGCAGCGACCAGGTGAAATGAATGGCCACAGGGGGTAGAGCAGTGTTTTTTTTTACCGTATTCTGTGTCTTTCTAGGTCGGGGGTTTTTGACGGGGGGGGGGGGGGGCGTGGTTCATGGTGCGCGTGTTACATGGTTGTTTTGTTTTTGTACGACCTCCGCGTATTTTTGGCGTGTTCTATCGTGTCTCTCTGTCGGCGGTTTTTGACACATTGACAAGTGGTGCGCGTTGTGTGATTGTTTTTGTTTTTGCTTCACTGTTGTGGTTATTTTTTGGTGTTGTCCTCCGGGTGGGGCGCTCTCTCTCAAGACGCCGCCCCCGCTCGCTCGCTCGTTTGTTTTCCCCGCGCCAACCCCACGCTGCGCTACGCCAGGTGCCGGAGGTAGTGACCTGGGAGGTGGACACGGAGTGCCCGGACACGACCTTCGTCGTCCTGCCGGAGGTCGTGACCCACCTCACCAGCACGGTGCTCGTGGTGGAGGGGGGTCCGGACGCGGCCTCCTTCGAGTACGCTCTCGACCCGATCGAGACCAACACCAACACCGATAACGACCACGACGATGATGACGATGGTGATGACGATGCCGAGGAGGCCGGCAGCAGCGGTGGCGTGTCGAGCGGGGGCAGCAGTGGCGGGGGTGGGACGGCGGCGAGTCGTGATTCTTCTTCTAGGTCGTCGTCGTCGTCGTCATCGTCGTCGACGACTTCGGGCGGGGAGGGGGAGGGGGAGGAGGCCGGGGTGGTGTGGCAGCAGGGAGATAGCTCGGGCGTGATACATCTCTACGACTTGGAGGTTCGTGGTTTGGGTGGGCGGCGAGGGTCGTGATTTTCGGTCCCCGGTGGCGTGTCGCTTTTTTTTTTTTTCCTTACAAAAACAAAACAGATTCTTCTGTTCCACAGCTATAAGAGTCCGGGATAGATTAGCAATTAGTAGTTCATGCCGTGTGTGTGGGGGGTTATGGTAGGCTACTTTGTTTTTTACAACCTGGTGAGTCCGATGCGTGTGTGAGTGTGAGTGTTGGACACATGCTCCCTGTCGCTCTTTCTCTCTCTCTCTCTCCTTTCCCTGACAAATATCATCGCTCTCTTTGTCGTCCTTGCTGCTGCTGCTGCTGCTGCTGCTGCCTGTGATTTGTCTTGGTTGCCCGTCGTCGTCCTGCTGTCGTCCTGCGCACGCATGCACGCACGCACGCCGTGCAGGAGGGACGGCACGAGATCAGGGTGAGGGCTGTGGATTCGGCGGGCAATGCGGACCCTTCCCCGGCCACGTACAGCTGGATCGTCGACAGAGCGGGTGTGTACGGGCACCCGAGCATGGTCACCGACGTTGTGGCAGAGGGCGGCAACAAGCAGGTGAAATGAAACCCTCGAATTGCCGCCAAAGCGTGCACATCTGTACTTTTGTATGTTCCGTGTTGTTGTTGTTGTTGTTGTTGTTGTTGTTGTTTGCTCCTCTCATGCTTCGAATATTGTCAATCAACCAAATTATTAATGGACGACCACTTCTCTCAACTTGATCTCTCTACACGGGTCACACGACAAAAAAAAAAGGAGCATCGGGCCGAAATCAAATCCACCAACCAGTTCGCGGGAATCGATTCAATTTACTCTCTAGTTCTGGCTTAACCTGATGTATGCAATAAATCGAAATCTAGAGGAATCGCATTAAGAACAGGACAACATCTACAGCAGCAGCAGTGCCTATGTAAAGAACTAAATCAATAAGGAGTACACCGGTAGTTCTTAAGGCCGTTCGTCCGCATCGCTCCGCATCGCTGGTTGGTTTAGGCGATCGTGCAGTGGTCCGCCGCTGCCGACGACGGCGGCGGAGACCTGACCAAGTACGTCGTCATCGCCTCCACCGCCTACGCCGACATCAACGTCGAGGCCATCACGTCCGTGCACGCGACCGAAGACGTCGAGGAAGGGGAAGGGGAAGGGGGAGAGGATGAGGCGGCCGGCGGCGTGGCGGGGGGGGGGGGGGGGGGGTTTCCCAACGAAGCTACCCGGGAAAGGGTTACAAAA